TAAATTTTAATATATATAAATTTTTTATATATATTTCTTTTTTCTTTTGTTTGTTTGTTTCGTAGGAACTGCAACAGGGTAACGGTAGCTTTGGTACTGCAGGACTAGGTAGCATGCAGGACTCTCCTCATCCTTTAAAAATAAAACAGGAACATTTTCAGCTGTCCCCTCCTTCGCCACTTCCGGCTATACATCAAGGTATGTATACGCGTTTTCTCTATTCTCCTCTTTATATTTGTTTTTGACAGTATTATTTAATTAATTTGCACATCACTTGCAATTAGATAATCTATGGGATAATTGATTTCTGCACTTTAACGGTAACATTTATATATATATATATATATATATATATATATGAGCCGTTTATTTTGAAAGTCCCTTTTGTTTTTTTTTTTAAATGAAAAGATACCGTTCAATTGTAATTAGTGTTGCCATTAATTCGATTTTTTTGAAAAAGTGACTTATGCCACTTTCAAAATAAACGGCTCATATATAGTTTGAAAAGTGATTCTTTCAATTGGAAACGATCTCAGTGTAATATCCTGAAGTAGGATTACTTTTTCACCTTCTCTCCCTCTCTCTCTCTTTCTCTCTCTGAGTTTCAGTCTTTGATTTTGTTCGTTTTTCGTACTCGCTAAACGGCTCCCGGTTCTAATAATACGAAAGCTCCGAGCTGTCGAGTGTCATGCTCGCGAGGGAGGCCAAAGCGGAAAACGATAGAGAGATGTTGGAAGAATTAGAGTGCTAGGGGGGAAAGAAAGAGATAGAAGAAAGAGAGAAACGAAAGGGGAAAGTGATATACCGCGAGAGGCTGCATCCTGATCTTTCGACGCACCATTTAGTCACATTCTCTCCTGCGATCATAGTTCTCGTCAGATAGTCGTTACCTTGTAACACGTACCCTTTGAAATGAAAATCGTTTGGGTTTAATAGTCGTAACGAAGGACTGACTCGACTTTGCCAAGAACGTTCACGAAACCCACAAATTTTATTTGTTTTATTTTTCTTCTTCTTCTTCTTCTTTTTTCTACAGCTTTATAATTCGATTTAAATGTTAATCGATCATAAAAAAAAACATCTATGATTTAACTTATTTATTTATCGCTAGATATTTAATTAACTATCGAAAGTTATATATTTTTAATGTTATATAGTTTTGTTGAGTGTTCAAATGTAGTTTTGTGAATATTACAAGAATGTATGTCTGCTTAAATAAAAAAGACGCTGAACTTTAGAGATTAAGTTGTTGAATAAGTCCCAATAAAGGGACGAAACGTCCAATTAATCAAAACGAAGTTCTAATTCTTTTGAATGTACAAATTCCCTACGATACTTACTTATTAATGTTATAGAATGTTTTTCACAATTGTGAGTGACTGATAAATGAATTAAAAGTTACAGTTTCTTTTTTTTTTCAATTTCAGATAAACGTATAACAATGTTTAATTAATGTAATTACTACTTTTTCATTTTCAAATTATTCACACAATTGTTACTTTGGTCAATTACATGGTAAAACTATCGTATTTATTTTGTTTCATATTTTTGTTTTCTTTAATCGCGATATAATAAAGTTATATTAGAAAGATGATGGTACAATATGGCCGGGTGTGAAAATAGATTCTCTCTCTCGTGTCATACCTTCAGGATAGAGGAGAAGAAACTCGTTTGGTATATTTATCGATGATTATCTTACCAGTTTGTGCCATTTATCTTCGTACAACGAAATAGTTGACCGTCTTATATTAACGACTGTTACCGCTTGTTAAACGAAAGATACGTGCCAGTAGGTTTGCAAACTATCGTAAATGGCCTCGAGTCTGTGTGACAAAGTATTTCATATAAAATATAAGTATAGATATTATAATCTATTAGATTATTATTACCTAGCCAATGAGATAAAACTCCTCTTCGTCGTCGTCGTCGTCGTCGTCCAAGAGAGATTTTCTATCATTTTTTTTTTCTTTTTTTTGACAACCATCTAACAACTTGCGTTATACTTATACGTACTTCGAAATTTATTGATTTTATAAATAAGAGAAATGATTTGTTTTTATCAATATATAAATGGATTTTTTCAATTAATTTCTCTCATTGAACGAACAAGTAATTTCTCCAAGTAATAATTCCACTAAGCGACGTTTCTTCCATTTATTTCGCATTTTTTTTTTTTCTATTACTTTTTTTTTACTGATTCAATAATGACGCAGATGTGCGAGATGAAAACAGAACTCCTCCGATTTCTGACACGATGATTTCGACTTGAGCCGATTTTATCGTCTTCGGTTTTTTGCTATCATACGAGCAAGCAAAAAGAACATTTAAGAAGGAGACGATAAAATAAAGGGCTCGTATTACCAGGACTTTTATTATACGCTAATCGCTTAATGTTTGAAAGAGAAAGAAAGAGAAATAATGAGAAGGAGTGAGAAGCGAATTTGAGATAAATTATACTTCTTGCGATTAACCCATGACCGAGCAACATTCATAAGAAGATGAAACATTATACTAACGTAACTTCGATATTCTCAATCATATCAAGAATTAATCGTAATGATATATCCGTTTGATTCATACTTTCATAAATGCGCAAATCTTTTCAAACGTTCTTCAAATGATCTTCAATATTATCATTTAATGATTGTAATATTTAGTAAAAAATTATATTCAAGATAATGATCGAGAATAATATAAAGTAATAATTAATATTACGAGAGAAGATATTTAATAGAATGTAATTCTATCTGGTATTACAAGTTTTATTAACATTTCATATATTATATAATATTTCATCGATAAGAAATGTTTCCAATGATTGAATCTTTCGATAAAGAATTTTTAGAATAGAATACAATGTTGTTAAATTGATTTATTAATTATACACCGATTCGTTGTTATCGATTCATTCATTAATTCATTCATTAAAAAAAGCCTCCAAAAAAAAGATAAAAATAAAAAATGTTCATACAAAAGTGGAGAAACATTTTGCGTAGGATAAACGTAAAATAATAAATAAATCTGTGAAATGAATGAATGATTTTAGATAAAAAGGGTTGGATAATTCGAATGTTAATCGTTGATTTTTGAAAGAGAGGGTTAACTCGTAAGGATCGTTGAAAATTTGTCTAATTTTCTCGAACTCGCGGCGGGTCTTAGAATCCAAAATCGTCACCGTTAGAAAGAAAAAGAAAATTGTGTGGATCGGAGGGAAGAAGGAACATACGAGAGTCGTGTGTTTTCGGAATCGGTCTGTTTAGAGTGCTTGGGCATAAGAGTTATGGTCGCTAATCCGGGAAGGCTGCGTGTTTTGGGGTGAGCTGATGTATCGCCCAACGACAGCGTTTCGAGGATTCTTGCCCCCGAACAACCGAACATCTCTTATTCTACTCTCGCATTTAGTTCGCATTTAGATGAGGAGAAATCAACTCGATTTACTACTGACTTTTTAACTCTTACTAACTCTCTCGATATAATTTACTATCGGAATTTATATATTTAACCTTCGGAAAAAAGAGTCCGAAAGATCTTATCAATTCACAATTCAATTATACGATAACTCAACTTGCATTTAGCTCAGGAGAATCGTGTCAATTTTATTTACAACTTAACTTGCTACTCTATATAATTTACAATTGAAAATTTATATATATATATTTAATTTTCGGTAAATAATCGAGAATTGTTTATCAAATGAATTCAATTGAAAAAGAATATATATTCGTTTCTATACAATAATTATATCTAATTTAATATAAACATTTCAAAAGAAAAATGAAACGAACGGCGCCAAGAGATGAGGGTTAGTTAACTCAATGTGTATCAGGACAAATTTATTTGTGCTATGAAATCGGGACGCGAACAATTAATCTTTAACTTTACTAATGCATTTTAAATAGATAAGTAGTAAATAAGAGCACGTTTTTCATGGGGTGTAGTAGTAGGGGCTTTTAAAAAAGAAAAAAAAAGAAGAAAAGAAATCAAAAGGAGTATGTTACGATTGATAACGGAATATGGACGTTATCGTAATGGGCCGAGCATTACGTTTTGATAAATACCGACTACGTGCTTGATAGAAACTGTCAAAGTTTTACGATAAAAGCTTGGTTGCTCGATAAAACAGTATTACTTGGTCGATTTCTGAGTTACGGATAAACTTGTACTTCTTGAGGTCACTACACTTTTGCAAATGAAATATGAAAGAAATGATCATTTTCTAAAACAATAAATCAACATCAAAAAATTTACTTACTGTTATATTCTATATACATATATATATATATATGCAAGTCATTGGATTAAAATATTAATCGACAATCAATTAAAAAAAAGAAAGATACTATCAAGTTATCTATGATTCATTAGTTGATATATAATTCCTGACGAATAAAATAATTATTTAATTGCTTATACGAAACGTACGATAAATTTCCAATGACATAGTTGCAATTACGTTACCAAATATTAACTAAACAATTAATAATAAAACATTTGTAATTTTCTTGTTGTGTTTTCTTCAAATTTGTAATATAACACATGTAAGAGATAATAAATATAGGTAGTGTCCAGGTCATCTTATTTCGTTATTATCGATCGATAATAATTATTTGTCGATTAGTTAAATTGATCCTAGATTTTGTTAACTGATTTGAAATCTTTATTATTTCAATTGTAAGAACAAAACGAATTACCACCACTGATCATCATTTAATGGATGGAGAAACTCGTACAATGCTCGAGTGCAAAACAACGCTCCCGCTGCGTATGCGCTATAGTAAACACGATAACGACGATAAAGATAAAAAGGGAGGAAGAAAAAGGATATATATATGGTCGTGCATGCACGCATACACACATACATACATATTTATCGATCACGTTTCGAGGCCTTTTGGTATCGTATAAGTGTTCGCATTTCTTTAATTTTTTGGCGCAAGAACAAATCATTGACAAATAAATGCGAAATATAGGATAAGATATATATCTATGCAAAACAAATAGTATACTTATCTTTCTTTTCTTTTTTTTTTTTCTCTAATCTTCTCTATTTTTATTCAATTTTTTTCATTTTTTTTTTCTTTTTACAAATCCACCGTTCCTTAATATTTTTTCTTTTTATATTAATCGAATAAACGATAATATTTGATTTATTATTTATGACATTGGTCATTAATTAATAGATGACAGATAAAATATTT